CCCAGAGTTCAGGCCCCACAACTGGACCCCCCCCAAAAAAATGTTAAGGTCTTTAATCCATTTTGAGTTGATGTTGGTGCATGGTGACAGGCTGGGTCCACTGTTAGTTTTCTGCATGTGGCCGCCCAGGTTTCCCAGCACCAGTAGTTGCAGAGGCTGTGCTTCTTCCGCTGTATGTGGTTAGTCGGACTCCTTTCTCAAAGCTCTTGGACTCCTTTCTAGCTAAATTTCAGTGCTGCTGTTTCCAGTTTTTACTCACAGTCCACTCTTTTTGTCCTCCCGTCCTCCCTACCCCCAGTGTGTCAGTACGTCCCCAAGGCGGGGGCCCTCCTCCCAGTGGGTCAGTACCCCTCAAGGCAGGAGTGCACTGGGGCACTCGTGCTTGGCCCCTGGTTCACAGCGGATAGCACATAGGAACCATCAGCTTTCCCGGGCTGGGAACTCCTCCGGGGAACTGGTTTGTCCTTGGGTGCCTCCCTGGCTGACAGGCCTGTGCCAGCCCTGATGAGCACCTTTCTCCACAGACTCCTAGGGAATTTGAGCTGCTCCAAGGCTGAGATGTCAGGATTGTGGTTCAAAGCCAGCCTGGGCAGACAAATCCAAGACTTTTATCTTCAATTACCTACCAGAATGTGGCTCAAACCAGCGGGGCGTTGGGCTGAGCAAGTCCCCAAGTTCAAGCCCCACAACACAACTAAAGGGAACAAAAGAAGTATAACTAATTCCCTGCACTGACTCTCTTAGACTTGATTATATTTACTACACACATGGCAGATTCTAATATATATAGTAATATGCATGTTACTGTATCTCACATCATATCGTGTAGCATATAATGTGTTTGCTATAGTATGTTACGTATACTATTTCTAGTAGATAGAGAATATATTATATATAGTGTGACATCCATAGTATAGTACAATATATCATGGCTCGATATACTGAAGCATATATGCACTATATACGGCTCATAGTGGATGCATATGGTGTGTATATATCACATTCTGTGTATTATATATGGTATAAGTAACATACTGCTATTATAGATACATTCCACATCCAGCGTCCTGCTGGTCAGTTGGAGACAGGAGTCGCTGGGTCTTGTCTGGCTAGCCGAGACATGAAAGGCATGATGTCTGTAATCCTAACTGCTCAGAGGACTGAGATCTGAGGATCATGGTTCAAAGCCAGCCCAGGCAGATAAGTATTATCCCCAATTAACCATACAAAGTCAGAAGTGGAGCTGTGGCTCAAGTGGTAGAACACCAATCTTGAGCAAAATAAGCGAAGGGAAAACACCCAGCCACTGAGTTCAAGCCTAAGACTGACAAAAAATAAAAATAAATAAATAAAATCTTACAACACAGTGATCCACAAGTGCTTTATTTGAAGACAGTCTCTTCCATAGCAATAGGAGAGCTCTTACGGTGCTTCATCTAAGTCAGGACTGTATGCCATACCTTTAAACAAGGAAGTACCAGTCCAAACAAAACAGAACTCTACCCTACACATCATTTTTCCTAAGACTACTACAAAGGAAAATATTGTAAGGCCCATTCTAAAGTTAATTTTTGAATGACACTAATACCCCTGATCCCATTTGACTGTACCAGCTGAGCCCATGAAGGCGATTTCTGTACCCTCTGCTCTTCAGCCATCTTGAATGGGCGTCTCGTGGCTCACTCCTGAAATCCTAGCTACTCAGGTGGCTGAGATCTGAGGATCACAGTTCAGGGCCAGGCAAACAAATCCATGAGACTCTGACCTCCAATTAACCCGCAAAATCCAGAAGTAGAGCTGTGGCTTTAAGTGAAAAATACAAGTGACAGTGTCCAGGCATTGAGTTCAAGCCCCAATACTGACAACAGATGCGTGTGTACACACACACACACACATACACAGAAACACAAATTCTCTTTGGTTTCATATTTAACCTTTTGCCTTGTTTCTAACATCCATAACTTTCTCAGTACTTCAATATTAAGACAATCTACACTGTAGGAAAAAAAAATCACCTTTCTGGCATTAACCAGAAAAACTCTTTTTAAAAAAGGGAGAAAGCCAGAAGTGGAGGCATGGCTCAAGTAGTAGAGTAACAGCTTTGAACAGAAAAGCCAACCAATAGCATAAGGTCCCCAGTTCTAGACCCAGTGCCACCATTAAAAAAATGGTAGGCCAGGCACTGGTGGCTCATGCCTGTAATCCTAGCTACTCAGGAGGCTGAGATCTGAGGGTTGTGGTTCAAACCCAGCCTGGGCAGGAAAGTCCGTGAAACTCTTATCTCCAATAAACGACCAGAAAACCGGAAGTGGCGCTGTGGCTCAAGTGGTAGAGTGCTCGCCTTGAGATGAAGAGCTGAGGGACAGCACTCAGGCCCAGAGTTCAAGCCCCACAACCGCCAAGAAAAAAAATTGTAGCTGCAGGCTGGTGGCTCACACTTGTAATCCTAGCTATTCAGGAGGCTGAGATCTGAGGGTTGTGGTTCAAACCCAGCCTGAGCAGGAAGGTCCCTGAGACTCTTACTTCAACAATGAACCACAGAATACCAGAAACAGCTCTGTGGCTCAAGTGGTAGAGCACTTGCCTTGAGCTGAAGAGCTCAGGGACAGTACCCAAGGGCCAGAGTTCAAGTCCCATGACAGACAAAAAATAAATTCCTTAAGTATGACTATGACAGTTTTTTCTTTTGGTTTAAGTTTTGTTTTTTTGGTGTGGTTTTTTTTTTTTTTTGAGGGGCGGGGGAGAGGACACCAGTCCTGGGGCTTGAATTCAGGGCCTGGGCATGTCCCTGAGCTTTTGTCTAAGGCTAGCCCTCTACCACTTGAGCCACAGCATCACTTCCAGCTTTTTTTGAGTTGTTTATTGAAGGTAAGTATATTGGCAGACTGTCCTGCGCAGGCTGGCTTCTAACTTCAGTCTTCAGATCTCAGCCTCCTGTGTAGCTAGGATTACAGGTGTGAGCCACCGGCGCCCGGCTTGGGGTGTTTCTTAGTGCCGGGGCTTACACCTCAGACATCATGCATGGTAACTGTGCTCATGGGCACGAATGCTAAGATTAAATTAGAAAGCATGATGATTTCAACATGGGAAAGTTGTTCAAAACAAAACAATAACTAAGTCAAATGCATTCAATGAAAGTAAATCTCTTAATGCTAGGTGCTCTCTTAATGCTAGGTGCTGGTGGTTCATGCCTGTAATCCTAGCTCCTTAGGAGGCTGAGATCTGAAGAACAAAGTTCACAGCTAAGTGGAGGCTGCAAAGTCCGTGAGACTCTTATCGCCAATTAACCACCAAAAAGCCAGAGGTGGAGCTGTTGGTCATGAAGTAGAGTACCAGCCTGAGTGAAAAGCTAAGTAAGACCACCAGGTCCTGAGTTCAAGTCCCAATATTGACATATACAAAAAAAAATAACCCTTAAAGGCAATTGTTTTTTCTTATTTAGCATTTCCTTGTTTCTCTGTGTAAGACTGATCTTTAAAATACATGTTTATGTTCATTCTTTAAAACAACACACATACTCTCTTTTCAACAATCCTCTCAGCAACTTATATGAACTGCACAGATCTGTAGTATGTCAAATCTGAAATAAGAGGTTTTACTCAGTCTCTATTCTTCCTAAATTGCAAAAAGCAAACAAACAAAAAAGCACACTAATGATAGCTTTGTGTAAGTCTGAGTAGGGTGAAATGCTTGTGTGTATTCATGAAGAAATCCCATTTGTGTAGCTTTCTTGAAAATGAAATATGTAAATAAAGCATTTGAACACGGAAAGATATCATAAACACACAGGAAGTGTGCGTATGATGCTGGAGGACCATAATGTTGATACTAATGTTCATCCATTAAACTGACTGTTGTCAATTCAAAGAAAGGAAATCTCCCACTTAAAACACTAGAGTTTAAGTAACATAAATGAAGCAAGTTCAAAGTCATCTTTGCTGTTCACTCATCAACTCTGGTTCTTCTCATGTCTTTAATTTTAGTCACTGGACTAAGAAAAAGCATTATGGGATGGTAAAAATATGTATTTATCTGGAGGACTTGTAGCTCAATCCTAACTACATAGGAAACTGGGATCTGAGGACTGGAGGTTGAAGCCAGCCATGGCAGAAGAGTCCATAAGACTCTTATCTCCAATTAACTAGCAAAAAGTCAGAAGTGGTGGTGGTGTTCAAATGGTAGAACACCAGCCTTGAGCAAAAAAGGTAACGGCAGCACCCAGGCCCTGAGTTTGTCTCAGTTTGGGCACCAAAAAAACCCAACAAACAAAAAGAAAAATCAATAACGTAAGCAATAAAGACGGTCTTTTCTTTGCCACATGTATTCAATTTGAAGCCTATTTATGCTGTTAATGCAAACTATGGGATGTATTTCAGTGTATTTTTCCCTAGTAGAAAGAACATACCACTAATTTTGCTTTTTCTTTCCTTCCTATTTCTTTCCTTTTTTTCCTTTCATTTGTTCTTTCCTTTTTCTTTTTCTTTCTTCCTTCCCTTCTCTTTCCCTCCTTCCCTCCCTCTCTTCCTTCCTTCCTTCCTTCCCTTCCTCTCTTTCTTCCTTCCTTCCTTCCTCTTTCTCCTTTCCTTCCTCCTGTCCTCCTGAAGCAGGCCTCTTGGCATCATCCATCCATCCATGCGTGTGTGCATCACGTCCGGGCCGCGCTAGGCAGGTAGAGCGAGGAGAGGAGCAGGTTGTGTCCGAAGGCAGGGAAGCGGCGGAAGGCCTCCCAGCTGTGGGAGAAGACATTGTACTTGAGGAAGACGCGGTGCTCCAGGCTGGTGGACAGAGTCACGTCCCTGCTCATGATGTAGATGCCGTCATTATGCAGCGCACAGGTCAGGTTCAGGCCCGACTTGGATGTGTTCTCCTTGAGGTGGAGCCACTGCCGGGTAGCCGTGTTGTAGGCCTGCACCGTCAGCATGTCCTGGCTCTGGCCACTCCTCCGGCCAGGCCCGAACTCATGGAGGCAGCCCCCCACCATATAAATGGTCTCCTCCACAGACACCATCTGCTGCTTGCGAACATGGACACCGCAGGTCTCGAAGAGTGTCCACATGTCAGATGCCGGGCAGTACTGCAGGACATGCATGTTGCGGTCTGGAAGACAGAAAAAGCCCAGCATGGCCCCGCTGCCACCGGGGCACCGCCCTCTGTACAAATTCCCTCTACTTTGTGCCCAACTTGATCACAAAGAAGCAAAAGGCATTCAGGAGAGGTTGGCTGGCCAAGCTGGTGGTTTATGCCTGTAATCCCAGACACACAGGAGGCTGAGATAGGAGGATCATGCTTCAGAGCCAGCCTAGTTAAAAAAGTCTTATGTACGACAAGATGCAAACATAAAGGGGATCCAAATAGGGAAAGAAGAAGTAAAATTCTCCCTCTTTGCAGATGACATGATCTTGTATTTAA